GTATTGGTGAAAGAGCTTGGCTAAACTGAGGTTAAGGCCAGCCCGGCGGTTTAGCTCGGCGATGCCATTTATTATGCGGTATGAATTTGTGAAAAGTTGAGTTGGGCAGAGGTTGGTTTGTCTGAGGAACTCGCAAAGGAGGGGCTGTACAGGGAATTTTAGTCTGGCTTCTATAATGGAAAGCAGTGTAAAGGGAACAAAGCCAGGGTTTTCCCAGGGTACGGTATCTAGTTCGGCTAGAGTGAGATGAACATCATCAGGGATATGGTAGTCCCTTCGAAACTAGGCCATAACACCTAGTGAGTTCACTAAAAACCTATATTTACCAATAAGGATTTAAATTATGTATAAATTAGCCTGCAGTATTAGCTCGGCGCTAAGCAGATAGAGGGTATCTCAGTTGGACGTGCAAAGGAGTGCCTGGGCAACCTAGTCAGAGTCTGCAAAGTGAAAAAGAAATGTGTTAAGCACAGATCGTGGGACCGTGCTACAAGTAATATAGGTAAGATAAATGAAATCCTAGCTCGGTTACATGGAATGCTATCTAGTCTTAGCTCGGTTTAAGCAAGGGGCTTCATCCAGGTCGAGCTATCGGGACAGCATTCTTAGTTCGGTTTGAACTAAGGGAGCTGGTTTAGCCCCAAGATTTAGCTCGGTCTGTGGTTGAGGCTTTTTAGCTTAGTATTACGCAAAACCTAGTACTGTGCGATAGCTTGGTTAAAAGAAACAAAAGGTCCCCAACTTATGGAAACCGCAAGTATGGCATAAGTTTTAGTGCGGTTCTTGGTTGTGGCTAGGCTTGCATCTAATACAAACAGTATCCTAGTTCGGTTGATGTGTGATTTTGGCTTAGATACATCGTTCTTCAGTTTATTCGTAAGTACCGGTGGTTATATTACAAAGGTTTTTCCAGAAAATGGAAGCAAAAATGGAACGTATACTTTGAAAAACATAAACATGCTTTATGTTGCAAAAAGAGGTGCAAAATCAATAAAAATGAAGGAGATTCGAATCACTTACCAGTTCAAAGGTGACGACACTGAAGATGGAGGTAGTATCAGCAAGAACAAGAGCTTCACAGTTGCAAGAGAATAAGGGAGAAGAAGTTCGAAGAGAGAGAAAGTAATGAATAGTGGAGTGATAGATTCAAAACGAAGGGTTTGTTTTGTGTAGAGGGAAGGACAAAAAGGCGGGACTGTTCAAAAAACAAGGAGTACGAAGACGGCGTGACAGCTACATTTGGCTAATCAAAGTCTACCATGTGTCCTTGGAATAGAAATCGATTTAGTTGGAGACTGAAGAGACGTTGTGACTGGACAGGTTGATAGCACGATGTAAATTTGGCTCGGTTGGAAGGCTAAGGTTTTTTAGTTCGGTTGGAAGGCTAAGGTTTTTAGCTCGGTTGGAAGGCTAAAACTTTTTTTAGCTCGGCCGGTAACATGTAATCCCAATCATGCTACGCAGATGGAATTAAGGGGCAATTGAGAGGGTAATTTATATATAAATTGGGCCAAGCTGGGTAAAGGGCCATTCTGTGGGCCACGGTAAGAAGGGTTGAGTAAAAGGGCCTTGTAATTAGTCCGGTCCAGAAGAGCCTTGTAATTAGTCCGGTCCAGAAGAGCCTTGCAGATAGTCCGGTCCAAAGGAGCTTGGTGGTTAGCTCGGTCACCACAGTTGGCGCGGTGACAGTTAGCTCGGTCATACTATATTGGGCCGAAGTATGTTGGCTTTTGCTTAGGACCTTGCTGTTAGATAGCTCAGTCCAAGCTCATTGTGGATAGCACGATTTCAGACAACCCAATTAGAATATGTCAACCGAGGTACACGCGCAGTGAAAGGAAGAACCGAGCTAGCTGGAGCTCAGTTTAGTCTGCGGCTTTAGTATGGCCATGTTATCTCGGTCGTATTGACATCCAACCATGGTAAAACCATCTCACTTGGTTTAAGCAGTGAGAGGGGTGTTGAAGGATAAGCATTATCTTTCAAGAATGTGATTCCTAGGAGGACTCTACATGGAAGAGTAAGAGTCCTACTAGGATTGTGCCACACGGAACCTATAAAAGCTCATAACATCACCTATGGAGAGGTAACACAACTTTGATTCTCGAATACACAGAGCTTTTGTCTATTTGTCTATTTTGTTGACTTAGGCATTAGAAAGGTATTCGGCACACACCCACCGGGTAGCTCACGTTTGTGTTTTCAGGGAGTAAAGCGACGACGTTTGGAGAAGCGCAAACTTGATTAACAGGATTATACGAGAAGATTATTTCTTACTCGTACATACGCCTTTTATAATACATAAATTGTTGATCTAAACACAAAATAAAAAACAGGGTTAATTACATTTATGGTTGCCAAAATATAAGTTTTGTGTCATTTTGGTCTCAATGTTTAAATTGTTTCAATTTGGTATCAAATATATATGTACATATATAATAAAAATAAGAAAAGAGTCAATTTGGTCCCGAATATATATAAAAAATAAAAAAAAAAGTTTTCATTTGGTTCTCAATATTTAAATTATGTCAATTTAATTTTTAATATATATAAATATTTCAATTTGATCTCCCAACTGAATTCCGTCAATAAATGCCGTTAAAGTTGATTGTAAATGTATAACTTTGGATATCTTAAGAACACAGGTCACATATTTTAGTGACCAAAATGTAATTTTTCAAGTGGCTTTTCACTAAATTAATGACACATTAAATATTTTTGAGCTAAAAGTGTAATTTCTTAAGTAGATTTCCACATTTATTACTAATTTTATTTAAGAGTTAGATTAGGGGAGACTCAATTGAAAAGTTTTTTATATTTTGGAAACCAAATTAATACAAAATTTAAATATTGAGAGCAAAATTAAAACATTTTTTATATATGGGACACCAAAATTGAAATAATTTAAATATTATGGACCAAAATAACACAAAAATTGTTTTGAGAATGAAAAATGCAATTAATACTAAAAAAACGCATTCTTCCTCATTCTAATTAGTCTTAACAAAATAGAAAAAATATCACAATCAATTTTTTCTATTTTATCATCAGAATTTATAATCATTTCTTTTTTCACCTAATTTACCAAATTGGTCCTCAATATATATATATATATATAAAATGTTTCAATTGGTCCCCAATATTTGAAAATTGCGACCAAAATAACACAAAACTTATATTTTGAAGAACAAAAAATATAATTAACACTAAGAAATAAAAATAAAAACAGCCATCCTTAATTTTAATTAGTATTAACAAACTAAGAAAAACAATCACAATCATATTTTTTTCCTTTTGTCATCAGAAGTTATAGTCATTTCTTTTTTTGGCGTAATTTACCAATGGACAGTTAGATTAGACACGAAACAAATTATGTTATTGTCATCATGTAAAGTAAAAATATAAGGGCTACTTTTTTCAAGTTGTCGTCTAAATTTAAGAGTGTTTTAGCTTGGTGTATTTATTTTGGGATCAATTTTGATGATCATAATTATTTATTTTTTAAGATTTATTTAGTAAAATATTCATATAAAAAATAAACATAATTAGATATCAATAGTTATATATTTGAATCATATTTGTTTTAAAAAAATAAACGATAAATATAATTTTAAGAATAACTATCTATTTTTTATAATACAAATTCGATTCAAATATATAGCTACCAACATTCGATCATTTAGATTTTTTATATGAATATTTTACTTAATAAATCTTAAAAAATGAACGATTTGGATCACTGAAATTAGTCTCAAATAAGCTTACCAAACTCAAACGCTCTCTTAAATTGAGATGACCAATTTGAGAGCAGCCAAATTCAAAAATAAAATATAAGAGTAGAACATTTTGTGTTATATCATAAAAAGCTTAGGTTTCTTTTATGTTCACATCTTAATATGATCACAAATCTCATTTTCATGATCTCACGTTCATTTTTTAAGATGTGTTGAGTAGAATATTCATGTAAAAAATCAAGATAATCAAATATCGGTAGTTATACCTTTGAATTAAATTTATATTACAAAAAATAGATAGTTATTCTTAAAATTATATTTTTCATCTATTTTTTTAAAACAAATATGATTTAAACACTTAACTGATGTTCAATTATCTTAATTTTTACACGAACATTCTACCCAATAAGTCCAAAAAATGAACGATTCGAATCACTATAATTAATTTCAAAATTAGCCTACTAAAACCAAACGCTCTCCTAACGACTTGAGAACAGCTAAACTTATCAGAAAATGAATAATGCTAGAGATCTCAAAAATTTTATTAAATGTCTCACATAAATGTGGGACCCACACAATGTGGGTCTCATATGGGCCACACACCCATGTAAGATATTTGTTAAAAATTTTAGTAGAATTTTTAAGATTTCTAACATTTTTGTCAAAAATAACCCTACTTTTGCTTCCTAACTAACCACTTCAAATTTATTGCTTTTTTCGACCCAGACATTTAATTGTGCTACATGCACCAATTAATATATACGAACATTTTATGACATTATTATTTCAAAATTATGACCCCACCCATTATATAAAGAGTGTTACTACATGCACTAATTAGTGTACTTACTAGTGTACTAACATTAGTTATGATATTATTATTGATCTCACTTATTATACAAAGAATAATGTTATATGCACCAATTAGTGTACTAACTAGTGGTATAATTTAAGAGGTTTTTGCTACACTAGTTAGTACACTAATTGGTACATTAATGATGTGGTATAATTTAAGAGGTTTTTGGTACACTAGTTAGTATACTAATTGGTGCATGTAGTACCACCGTTATACAAATTACAAATATCAAAAATATCTTATAAATTATGTCACATCATTAATTGATACACTAGTTAATACTACACTAATTAATACATATAGTATTAGTTTATATAAATGATAAAGATTCAAAATTTTTAAAATTATGTCATATTATCAATTAATATATATAAATTAGGTACAGAATTGTTCTTTATTATTTCATAAACAAAAGATTAAAAAGCAAAGTAAATAGAAAGACTTTGGAGGGGGCAGAGAGAGAGAGAGAGAGAAAGAGAGACAGAGATGGGTTCTGCTTCTAGATTTGGCTCTTGCAGTTTGCTCTTTTATGCTCTACTTGTTGCTCAGGTAATGTCTATCCATTTCTCCTATAAATCCATTTATCTATATATACTCTTCTTCTCAAGTCTCTCTCTCTCTCTCTCTCTCTCTCTCTCTCTCTCTATATATATATTTGTTTGGCCGCGCGAGCGACTCGACCAGAGTAGGATGGCTGTGGGTCGCACCCACCGTATGTTTGGTGATGATTTGGAAGGGCCGCTTGATAGTGTGAGCGGCTTACTAATCCCCCTCAGTAAGGGGATTGGCTTGGTTGGGAAAAGCCTGGGATTAGGAAAGCAGTGAGTGGATTGGGTCTATCTGGTCGGTTGACCGGAACAGTTTTTTTTTTTTTTTTTGGGGGGGGGGGGAATTGAGTTTGCTGAACCATGTAATTGTTTTTCTGTGTCTTTCTTAATTAATGAATAAATGTGTATTTCCATTCAAGTGTACTTGTTGAGTAATATTAGAGAATCAAAAGATTTACATGTAGGTTTTGCACGTTACATTTGATAAAAATTTTAATAAATTTTTTGATTCTGTGGCTTTGTTCGTTCTTGTCATTGTTGGTGTTAAAAACTGAATATACTTCTACACTTGATTGGGAAATAAATGGTTTGAATCTTTTTATATGTGGATCTTATTTTTTTTGTATATTTATTTGGGTTTGAAACAATAGTTGATAGAAAGAGAGAGAATAAATTGTGTATATATTTCATATTATTAACAATGGTCAGGGCTCCTTGTAGAGGGGAAGATTACAGACAATTCATGATGGACTGGAGCCGAAAGGATGCACTGCACTATCTTAAAACAATTGAAAGGAGCACTATCTATTAGTATAAAATATATATATATAAGGATGCACAATACGCTACTAACATTATTATATTACGCACTATACACTACTAACATTATTATATGACTAATATCTCCTCGCAAATTTAAGGAGGATAAACATCAATTAACTAGAGTTTGGAAACTAGATCACTGAAACAACCAGGAGGATGAGCCTTGGTGAACATATCAGCCGGCTGATTTGTAGAAGCAATAGGGAGAAGATGAACAGTGTCACATGTAACATACTGTCGAATGAAATGACAATCAATCTCAATATGTTTGGTGCGATCATGGAACACATCATTGTGAGCAATTTGAATGACACTTTGATTGTCACAGAAGAGAGAGGTAGCACCAGAAGAAGAAACACCCATGTCAGCAAGGAACCATCGAAGCCAGAGAAGTTCTTGAGTAGTATCAGCAAGAGCTCGATATTCAGTTTCGGTACTAGAGTAGGCAGCGAGGGATTGTTTCTTGCTGCCAAGTAAGAAGAGAATCTGTTAAGAAGAAATAGAAACCTGTGGCGGAGCGTCTATCAGTAGAATTCCCAGTCCAATTAGCATCAGAAAAGGCACACAATTCAAGAGAGAAGTAAGTAGAGTAGTGAAGTCCATGGAACAGAATGCCTTTGAGGTAACGAAGTATGCGGACAAGAGCAGTATAATATGAAGTGCCAGGAGCTGACATGTATTGACTAACAAGATGAACAACAGAGGCAATGTCAAGACGAGTCACAGTGAGATAGATGAGACTACTGACGAGCTGGCAATAAAAGTAGCATCAGAGAGAAGATCTCCATCAAGAGGAGTGAGATGAATTTGAAAATCAACTGAAATAGAGGTAGTTTTGCAATCTGTAAGACTAGCACGTGCCAGAAGATCGGATGCATATTTGGCCTGGGACAAGTAGTAACCAGTGGAATCAAGAGAGATTTCAAGCCCTAAGAAGTAGTTAAGAGTTCCAAGGTCCTTCATCTCAAACTGATGATGGAGAAAATGTTTGGGGCGAAGAATACCAGCCGCATCATCACCAGTGATAATCATATCATCCACATAAAGAAGAAAAAGAGTGGTACTATGAGTAGTAGTCTGAACAAATAAAGCAGAGTCATAGAAGTTAGAGGTGAACTCGAAGTCAAGAATGGTGGAGCTAAACTTAGCAAACCAAGCTCGTAGGGCTTGCTTGAGACCATAGAGGGCACGTTGTAGTTTGCAAACCTTATGAGCGGGATAAGTAGCCCTAGGGGGAGGTTGCATGTAGACCTCCTCAAGAAGATTACCATTAAGGAAAGTATTTTTGACATCCATCTGAAAAAACTCCCAGTGGCGAGCAGTAGCAACAACAAGCAAACTGAGAGCAGAGGTAAGCTGAGCAACATGGGAGAAGGTCTCCTCATAATCAATACCATATTCCTGGTTGAAACCCTTTGCAACAAAAGGAGCTTTGTAGCGTTCAATAGAGCCATCATAATGGGTCTTGATTTTGTATACCCATTTGCAGCCAATCGCAGTCTTGCTAGGAAGAAGATCAACAACATCCCAAGTATGAGTTTTGCCCAAAGCCTGGAGTTCATCAGTCATAGCTTGCTGCCAAAGAGGATTAGTGCAAGCCTTACAATAAGAGGTAGGCTCATAAGTAGAGAAGGAAGCAAACCCAACAATATAATCACAAAGATGAATAGGTGGTTGAGTTACCTTTTATGGTCGACCCATAGGAGGATCTGTGGGGGAAAGAGCTGGTGGAGAAGGAGGAGACGGGCTAGAAGGCGCAATGAGAGGTGGACCATCAAGGAGAGTAGTCTGGATAGGATCAGGGGTCAACAAAGGCGTCTTAATGAAGGAGGAACCTGCATGAAAGTCATTAGAGAAGTGATCTATGGAAGGATTAGAAAACATAACGGAAGTGGAGAGGGCGGGTAAATGAAAAGAGGATAGGGAGGAAAACATTTTGTGCTCCAAGAAAACCATATGACGAAAGACACGAAGACGTTTAGAGAGAGGATCCCAACAACGATAGCCTTTATGTTCAATCCCATACCAAAAAAAGCAGCAAAGACGAGAACGAGGTTCAAGCTTGGTGTGTTTATGGGATTGAAGCAGAACAAAACAGGCAGAGCCAAAAACCCAAAGATTGGTGCATAAAGGGCGAGTGCCATACAGATGTTCAAAGGGAGTTTGATTATTGATGATAGAGGTAGGAACACAATTGATAGTGTACACAGCAGTAAGCGCAGCTTCCCCCCCAAAAGTTTTCAGGGCATGAATAAAACAGAAAGAGAGCACGAGCAATTTCAACAATATACCGATGTTTCCATTCAGCACGTCCATTTTGTTGGGACGTGCCAGCACAAGAACGATGAGGCTGAGTACCATGACTCTGAAAAAAGGAAAGGAAATTTGTATCCCGATATTCCATAGCATTGTCAGAGCGAAATTTTTTAATGGTCTTTGAAAATTGGGTGTGGACCATTTTGGCAAAGTGATAATAAAGGTGTTTAAGTTCAGACCAAGTTTTCATGAGAAAAAATCAAGTAAACCCAGAAAAATTATCAATAAAAACAACTAAATAACGAGATCCCCCCATGGTAGTAATAGGTGATGGGCCCTTAATATCTGAATGTATGAGATCAAAAGGTGCATGAGAAACAGAAGTACTTTTATTAAATGATAAAGCAGGTTGTTTTGCAAGTTGACAGGGTAAACAATCAAAAGTATCTGGAAGTACATGACCCAATTGACCACTAGAAATCAAAGACTTTAACCGACTAACAAAAATATGCCCTAAGTGACAATGCCAAAGATGAAAAGGAGACAAAAAGGAAGCAGATGTAGGAGTAGCAAACTGTGGGGAGTCAGGAACATGAAGGTGCATGAGTTCATAGAGACGTCCATGCTTACAGTAGATCCCAATAGTCTGTCCCATCTGAAAATCCTGCACCAAACAACCATTAGTAGAAAATGTGACAGTTAGACCAAGCTCACATAATTGACCAATAGAGATAAGGTTTAATGTTAGAGCAGGGATATAATAAACTTGAGGTAAAGATAAATGAGATTTGGAAACAAAACCAACATGACTGACAGACATGAGAGAACCATCAGCAGTATGAATAGAGGGAATATGAGTAAAGGGAGAGATGAAAGAGAATATAGTAGAGCTGAAAGTCATATGATTACAACAGACGGAGTCAAAATACCAAGAAGAGTTACCTGGAGTCACAGACAAAGCAGTAGGAGGAGATGTGTACCAGAAGTGGAGAGAAACTGTTTGAACGTGGCCTCAACATCAATTTGAGAAAAGACAGGGGCAGACGGAGCATGAGACTCAGAGAAATCCTTAGAGGTAGCAGTAGCAGTGTTATGAGCAGGCAAAGGCTGATTCCCGAGACGATAAGAGCTCCCTCTAGAAGAGCCACCGCGAGAGGAGTGGCTAGTGGAAGATGACCGGGATGGATTGCGAAAACAATCCTGCTGCAGATGACCGGGACCAAGTTTGTTTCAGTATTGGCAAGATCTGACAGGGCAATAAACCAGAAGATGAGTAGAAAGAAGGCCCCGATTCTAACAATAGATGCAGGCAGTGGATTGCTAGGTCAGTGAGGGCCGTGACGAAGAAGTGGTAATAACAAAGTCCACATGATGAGTCTGGAGAGTACCAAGACGAGTCTCCTCAGATAACAGTTCAGAAATAGCCTGTTCAAGAGTGGGCAACAGAAGGCGATGAAGAATAAATGCATACACGAGCTCAAAATAGGGAGTGTAAGCTATGAAAATGGAACCAACCGTTGCTAATTACAATATGTAGTGAATAAAATAGCATCTTCAAGGTGAGGCCATGCCGCTTCTAAGAGAGCAAGCTGGTCCTAAACAGAATACATCTGAGAAAGAAAATCATTAATAGACTGACTGGATTCTTGGCGCATGTGGTGAAGTTAACTCTGAAGTTGATACTGATGGGCAGGACTGGTAGCCTAGTATCGTTCTTTCAAAAAATTCCAAATGTCTTTAGCAGGAGTGATAACAGAGTCAAGCTGAAAACGATCAAACTGAAGACTAATAGAGGGAACAGAGGTATTCCGAAGCCAAGTAATGATCTGGTAGTTCTTACTGTCCCAATCTTCTAGTCGGTCTTCATATGTAGCAGTAGGTTCATTGACCTCTTTCACCGATTGGGTCATATCCTCGGTGATAATGCGCCAGAGCTTTTTACCTTTAAGGAAGGAAGATATGGCTTGGGCCCACAGAACATAATTGGAACCATTAAGAAGAACAGAAATTGAATGGGAGGCATCATGGCGATCCATAATAATAGTGGAGTAGGACTAATTAAAATAGGAACAAACCTGTAAGAGAAAAATCAAGTAAAACAGAGCGTACCAGTGAGTCCGGAAAGTTGAAAATAGCTAAGAAAGGAGCTGCTGAGCAGAGATGACATCAGAGGCTGACGTGAGCAAGCAATAGCAAAAGTTGAGACGCGTCGAACACAAAAGTGGCGCGTGACGGCATGTGGAGGCATTTTTGGTGACAGGGGTGGTGTCGTTGGAATCGTGAGGTGATTCCGAGTAGGTTGGTATAGTGCCACTGTGCACGGAACTAAGCACTAAAGTCAAAAAAGGTCAGAAGTGTAGAGCTGGACTTTGATACCATGAAACAATAGTTGATACAAAGAGAAAGAGAAAGAAAATAAATTATATATATATTTCATATTGTTAACAATAGTCGGGGGCTCCTTTTATAGGAGAAGATTATAGACAATTCATGGTGGACTGAAGCCGAAAGGATGCACTACACTATCTTAAAGCAACTGAACGGAGCACTATCTACAAGTATAAAATATATATATATACATATGTATAAGGATGCACTATAATACTAACATTATTATATTACGCACTATACACTACTAACATTATTATATGACTAACAGGGTTTTTTCCTTACGCTTTAAGAGGTTGTTTGTATTAATTATTTACACTATTATAATAAGAAAATACAAGGGGCAATACGAAAATTTGATGAAGTAGTTGTTACACCTATTTTTCTACTATTGAAAGGGCAAATATGTGTTGGACAATCTTCACTGTATTTAAAAGATTTAATTCTATTGTGTACACAACAACAATTAGAATTTAAAGAAATAAAGAAAAGGAGAGAATTTGTTTGATTACAAAAATCAAACTCGAAATAAAAATAAATAAATAAAAACAGATTTTATTTTGTTACAAAAACAAAATTTAAATATGATTTTTAATAAATAAAAACAACACTGAAAATAAATTAAATAACTTACTTGATTTAATTTGTTCGAATTATTTTCTGATCAAGTCCAGTGTTTGACACTGTGTCCTTAAGACAGATTCGTCCTCTCCACGGTGCTTTCAGAATTTGGACGTCTATCTCCCAGGATGAAATGATCTTACCACAAACAATAGCAGCACTACAAATTGTTTGCCTTACGAACACACTAAGTGTTTACACTCTTTTTTTCAGAAATAAAATGCAGCAAGATGAAGAATATAATTAGCAGAAGTGAAATACGAAATTTCTGAATACAAAATATCAAATGAGGGTAGTCCTATTTATAGATGTAAAGGTGGCTCTTGGTTTTAAATTGAACAGGTATGATACCTGTTGGTTTTGAATTCAAACAGATTTGAATCTGTTAACAATTCAAACAGATAGCAAAAACGGGAAGGGCCCTGTTTGGGTGTGCACTAATTCCAAACTAGTTTATTTCTGTTTGAAAATAGGAAGGCCCTGTTTGGATGTACAGAAAATCCAAATCAATTTAATTTGAATTCTGGATTTTATTTTACCAAAAAATAAAATTAAATTCAAATATTTTTGGCCCAAAAAGATTAGAAGCCACACCACGCCCGGACAGACGGCGGCGCACGTGTGGTGATTTTTGGGTCCAATGGGTCTAGCCCATTTTGCCCATAACCTCTCCCTCTACCATAACCTCTCCCTCTAAAACACTTGGGTACCCCTTGGGGCACACCCCAAGTATCTCACCCAAGCCTTATAAACCCTTTCAAAACTTCCCACCAAATCAATGTGGGACAAGCCAATTTACAACTTTAAGGAATTTTTACCAAAACTCCATTTCCATGGAGCACACTTTGGCTTCAATTTCCCATTCACTCGGTAATGGTTTTGAGCAACCAAATATACCACGTGAATCACAACGCGGCATAGAACGCGTTACCACTTTGACCCGTGTAAATCGACACTCGGGGCCCACCTAAAAAATAGACCAAACTTGAGAAAAAATTCTGATTTTACCCAAAATTTTTCTACCATTTTCAACAATATGTAAAATTAAATGCAAACTAAAAGAATAAATATGCAAAATTACTACTAATTAAAAAGATAATTATATTAAACAAATTCATATAAATACAATGGAAAGTGAGTTAATGGGATCAAAAGTAGGATTAAGTAATAGGGAGAGAAGAAATAGGTATAAGAGTAGGTAATAAAAGTAAATAATAAATATATAAAACAAAATTACATAATTCAATAAAGTAAATAATAAATATATAAAACAAAATTACATAATTCAATAAACATTTAAAAAAATCACATACTTTTTGAGAGTTGGCACTGATAGAAGGGAAATACTATGGTACACAAATTATGTCATTTGTGAGGTGTGAGTTTGATTATCACAAATGACATAACTTAATACTGTGAGAGTCATAATTCAAAAAAAAAAAAGTTATAATTAAATATCACATGAGGAATAACCAAACAACACTTGAATAATAACTAAATTATAATTAATATCATAATATATCATAATTAATAACATAATAAATCATAAATATTGATTCAAAAGTCGTAACCAAATGTGCATGTACCGTAACGTAAGTAAGAAATCTACCAAATAATAGGGTAGGAAGTGGATTAATTATTCACCCAAAAAAAAAAAATGTAAGTGGATTAAAGGAGAAAAACTACAAATAAACAGAATAAAAAGAGAAAAAATATGAAAAAACTACTTAATAAAAAATTAATATTAAGAAAATGATAAAATTAATATTAAAGTACTCACCAAGCTGCGTGCCGCTCTTCTAGCGTATTATATTTGATTTTAATTTTGATTGTTATTTATTGAGTTTCATTGTAATATGCTCTATTAGCGTATTAAAAAAAAACACAACAGCAGCATAGTTTAAGGTGATAATTTTTTTAGTTTAATCGTGATTTACAAAAGAAAAACTCGCTGAATTATTTGATAGAACCAATTACATACTAGATATAGGGGGTGGGCTTGTATTTAATTCTGTAAAATAATTGTGCAAATGTAGCATAGCAATGGAGGTGTGGCCAATGACTTGTAATGAGACTTTATTTTAGTGATATGGGTAAGGACTAGTATAACGATTAAAATGGAGTGTGCACATTCAATAGTAAGAAACTAGGTACTTATATGATCCAAAAAAAATTTGGAACAGTATAAAAAAAGGAAAATGTTTGGTGGCCACAAATTTTGTGGCTCAAATGACCCGAAATTGCCAAAACAACGTTATTTTGGCTTGTTTTGAATCTAAAACGACGTCGTTTTGACAGTTTCGGACCATTTGAGCCACAGAATTTGTGGCCTCCTAGCATTGCTGATAAAAAAAATGACAAAACATGATTGGTTTGGTACACAATCACGTGGTATTCCTAGAACATTAGATAATTTTTGTTCCATGTGACTCCAATTTTTATTAAGCAGTAGTTACACAACTTTTCAAAACAATAAAAATTGCCTACTACTCTCCAATCTAAATATAAAAATTTCGTAGATTTTTTATTTTTCCATAGAATTATTTTTTTTTTAATAGGAGGTTTGAAGTTAGTGAAACTCACAATGAATATAATCTATTGATTTACTTTTCTGAATATGTAATATTGTTATAATTAATTAATACACTTTTTATGTGTGTGTATTTTTATTGGTATTATTATTTTTTTTTAATTTTTTTGTATCTAGTAGAGCTAATCGTATATCAAAAAAAGAAGAATAAAAAATTGATCACAAAAAATACATAAGTCACAAGTCAGTGCAGTGGAATCTACTAACTTATGAGTGATTTTTTCATCCATAATAAAACTAATTATCTATTGAAAAGCCTAAAAACACATGAAATTGGTAACAGAAAGTGGTACATAATAGAAATTTTAAAATATTTTATTTAATGTCACTCAACTCGCATATTAGTATGTTTAACAAAAAATGGTTTGATGTTTAACAAAAATTACTTTGATTCCAACTTATTATTATTATTACTAAAAAAAAAACTAATTCTGTAGTGATTTGATTACAGTGCACCCGCATCAACAGCTCTAGGGGCAGCTGGAAGGACGTTGACAAACAGGCCTACAATTTGCAACAAACCACCATGGATGACCATATTCAAATTCTTGCAAAGAAAGCTCATGATGATCTATCATACCACATTTTCTTCACTGTAAATGACCTAAAAGTAGGCAAAAAAATTCCCCTATACTTCTCCATAGAAGACCCTTCAACCTCCCCTCCTCTCCTCCCCCGGGTCGAAGCCGATTCCATCCCATTCTCATCTTCTCAACTCCCACAACTCCTTCAATTCCTCTCCTTCTCCAAAGACTCCCCACAAGCCAAAGCAATGCAACAAACACTCCACCAATGCGAGCTCCAACCCCTTGATGGCGAGACCAAGTTCTGTTCCACTTCCTTAGAATCCATGCTCGATTTTACGCGCTCAATATTCGGTACGAAAACCCAATTCAAAGTCCTAACCACCAAACTTCTCTCCAAGCACACCTCAGTTCTCCAAAACTACACCATTTTGGAAGCGCCACGAGCACTGGATGCTGTTAATAAAATGGTGGCGTGTCACGCCATGCCTTACCCTTATAAGGTGTTCTATTGCCATTGTCAAGAGGGGGATCATCAGAGGGTGTTTGAGGTTTTGTTGGGCGGTGAGAATGGGGAGAGAGTGGAGGCTGTTGGGGTTTGCCATATGGATACTTCGCAGTGGAACGACGATCATGTTGCGTTTCGTGTGCTGGGGATTCGGCCTGGTGGGTCTCCGGTATGCCATGTCTTCCCTACTGATAATCTCATTTGGGTTGCATAGCCATGGTCAAGTTTAGTTGTGTGAGTTTGATTGTGTATGTATGTGCACATCAAAATCTTGCTAGTACAATCTTGTAATCTAGTTATGATGTATGTTACCTGCGCTCTTCTATTTCTCTCACAGGACTTGTATTCATCAATATGATATGAATAAAGGTGTGATATATGTCTATCCTATCCAATTTATGATATGAATAAAGGTGTGAAATATGTGTCTGTCGTATCCAATTTAAACACTCAGATCCTTTAATTTGTTACAATATATGAGTAGAAGAAACTCACATTTGTTAGTAAAATAATATTTTTAGCATCTCATATGAATTAAATATAGAAATTTTATATTTTTTCTAAATTCTATTCAATTTCAAGTATATTTCTATATGATTTATAACATTTTATCCAAAAATATTACATAATATGCAATATATATATGTGTGTGTAGGGTGTGTATAGGACACGTCCTCACACCCTCGTACCCATATCAAATTTTGGATATATATATATATCAAAATTTGAAGATTTAAATTTAAAGCAATGTCACGTACCTCGAATTTGTGCTTGCCTCGAATGGCTCAAATTTCATTTTGCCAGCCGTCTGATCGGTCGTCCGGCAAAAATGCTGACAGTTGCGGCCAACACAGTGACAACCGCGGTAGACAAGTGTTTCACTCGGTCATCCGGCCGGTTGGCTGGTGAATACAAATTTAAGTCATTCGAAGTAGCCTAATTCGAGGCACCAAAAATTTCTGTTAAATTTATGTAATACACAATTGCACTCAATACTCGTACCCGAATTCATATAGAATAGGCTGTGGTTGCATATGTGGTGAAGTGCTAATATATGTCTGAAAAAAAAGGGGGTATATTTTGATATGGTTGGTGTCATTTACAACGTTTCCTATACTTGTTGAACCCCAGTTTGTAAAGAGCTACTCCCTTCGTTTCAAACTGTTCCTCTTGCATGAAAAATAAGAATTTAAAAATATTTTTTTTCATATTAAAATTTTCAAAAACAAAATCCACCAATTGAAAGATTCAATTAAGCCTTTTCAATATGTGAAAAAAAAAAAATTCTAACACAAAAATACATTATTTTTAAATTATAATTTTGGTGTCACATAGATAATTTGAGGTGGATGTTGTAACTTGGAAGATTCAATTAAGCCTTTTCAATATGTGAAAAAAAAAAATTCTAACACAAAAATACATTATTTTTAAATTATAATTTTGGTGTCACATAGATAATTTGAGGTGGATATAGTAACTTGAATTTGATAGACAATTTTTTTAAAAATAAAAATAAATAAATAAAATAAGCCAAAAACGAGTTAGACATAACAGTTATATATACACTAGGTGAACTTTATTATAATTATTCAAAGTTATCTGGGTCTCTAATGCAATAGTTAAAAGTTTAAATTTTTCCTGGTCATTACAAATTGATCCTGCAAAATCAGTGCAAAAAAAAAAAAAAAAAACAATTGGAGCCAAGTATAAAAGGATTAGGAGTCTCATAAATAAAAGGACTCCTGCAAAAGAGGTGGTGGCAAGTTTGGCCCACATGAAATAAATCCATAACGAAAGAGGCCCAATTAAAATCGTAGGCCTTGCCCATGACCCTTAAAAACAAAAAGACCCTTTCAATATAAAAAAATGAATTGTCCATAAATCGCAACCAACCCACATACATGGGGCTTTCATGTATGTTTTAGCAAATGGGGGAAATAAAATCCAAGGTTAAGAAAAAAGGGGTTTGCATTTAAAAAAAAAAAAAAATTTGGGGCCGAGAGACACCAAAGCCAAGAAGTAATCTTATCCATGATCTAAAGAAGGTCTAGATAAAAACTCCAGATTGTCCTGATTTGCACAATTAAGAAAATTCACTAATACAAACCATAAGAGGGCATTTGTTGGCACATAAATTTCAACCAAATTTATGTCACATACAGAGCCTACAATAGGCATATGGAAGGTAATCACTTTCTAAAAGTATCAATATGATTCGTTGAAGTACATAAATAAAACAACGTTGTATCTCAATGATGTTATTCAAGATACCTAAGAATGACACTTAGAGCATACAGTAAGGATATCACAGAGAATGAAATCCAAAGGATTAACCCAAATGATCAATAATGGTTAATCAGATATAAGATTAACCAGATACGATACGCCAAAATTCAAGTGGCGTTATTATTCAATTTGAAATTCAAATTGAAGAGAGCACGCTCTTATCACATAGATAACCCTCTATAAATATGAGGACCACCACATAAGGAAGGAGGATTGGAAAATCAAGAGATCAGAAATCAAATATTAGAGAGAGAGAGAGAGAAGCCTATACTACACTACAAAATATCTAATATGATAGCAAGCGATAGGTAAAAGGTTCCAAACCCAACAATTATATCTTGTATCCAAGGGTTCTAAATCCCTACAGTTTCAATAAAATATTCATTTCCCTTAAATTGTATTCTGTTAATTTTTTGTTCTTCATTAATCGGAGGTTTCATTTAGTTAAAATGTGTAATTAACGATATGGAATACAAATCGAAAATATGAATATGCTATTCAAATAATCAACACTATTTAGTCCAAAAACTAAACAATAAACATTTGTAACATAAACTTCAAAATGTGTTAAAACACTTCAAGTTTCGAAATTTGTGTATATAGGCATCAAGTTATACCAAGAGAAAGCCTAAAATAGAAGAAGATGACAGCTTCAGTAACAATCACCTTTCATATTTCTGTTCTCTACAGTGTTGTTGTTAGGACCCAAACCTGCCCCTATAGGTTTAGCGTCATGACCGGCTAGTAATCATAGATTACCTATGGCCTCCATACAAAAATCTCTTAATATAAAGTACGGGGCTTAGCGGAAGTTAAGATGACATAGAAATTATTCATTGAGCTATGCTTATACATAGAGATCTAGTATATCGAGCAAAGTTTTTTTCCAAAAGTGTAACCATCATAACTGTACAAAGTCATGTCTTACAAGAATTCAACCCCAACCATATACAAATACAAAATCACTGAAACGCACAAAAGGGGTTCGACTAGCATGGCTCCACCCGAGCCTGGTTACTTCACTTGGAAGCTCTTCAAAGGGCAAACTTGGGTAGACTCGAGACTTTCCTAACTCTGATGTTCAGCTTGCCCACCTACATATATATATATATATATATAGATAAATAGTGAGCTAGAGCCCAATGAGTAATAACAGAATAAAGAAGTTATATGAATGAAGCTCAATAATATTGTTAAACCAAATTTCATTTCATCATCAAGATCTTTCAATATTGTTTTATGTGGTACATCCATTAAGTAACAACATTCCAGTGATAACGGACTATGTGTCAATCAATCCAAAAGCCATGGTATTGTTTCCCCTAGGCAAGAGCCTATATTCGGCAGATGCCACAAAACCATTTCAAAATAGAACTTCATTAATTATAAGAAAATAGTGTTTTCAATAGGCCATGCTATCAACTATCAAATCATTTCAATAATTCATTCAATCAATTACATATTCATTTCGATAGCAATAACATTTTCGAAAGTAAAGATAAATTGAACATATCTTTATAGAGTTATTAATCACAGTGGTTTGTGTTGTCAGTTGAACGTCCACCTAAACAAAACACATAACAAAGCACAATTGAAACTCCATTTCATTTTAACTCAATTCTCTTTATGCGTTTCTAACTCATTCTATGATTATATGAGTCCAAATGTTGCCTAAGAACACTAGGAGTGGCATGAGGATGCAAATATGCACTTAAAAAGAGTTAGTCAAAATTTGCTGAAAATATGGTCCCCGCTTAAGTGTAACTTCCTTCGCTTGAACGGGGGTTTAAAAACAAAGGTTGTCGCTCGAGCAGTCTGCAAACTTGGCAAAAGTACTGGTTTCATGAAATTCCCGCTCGACGGTCGCTTGAGCGGAAGATTGAGTAAAAAGGGTCCTCGCTCGAGCGCCATTTTGGTCGCTCGAACAATCTGTAAAATTTTATAAAGCTTCTCGAAGCTCGATTTTCATGCTCGAGCGAGGCTTTCCTCGCTCAAGCGGACAAGCCGAATTCTAGAATTTCCAGAACTGTGTTTGAGCTTCAAGGTTGATATTCAAAGCCTCAAAATCTGTGTTTTCAGTACAAATCTTGGAAAATCATTATATAACATGAAAATACTTCCAATTTAAAACCATTTATTCAAAATCATGCTCCAATTGTCCAAATTTGAGCTTATACTAGCAAGTTAAAACCATGCATGTTATGGATTAAGCCATCTTCATGTTAAAACACCACTAAGTGATATGAAATACATGAATCCATGGATGATCTTCAAGTTCATGCCTCCTAAGCTTCATGCATGTATGATTTTCAAGAAATCTTAACTCAAAAATAAAAGATTAAGCATGGATGTGCATAATTCAACTCAAATTCATCATATTCATGGTAATTCATTCTCAACCTACCCAAATTCAAGCAAATGATTCTATAATTCCATGCACTTAGTTTCTACATGGCTCAAGTTCATGAATTTAGGATGAATCTCATATCTACTGTGTGAATTCAAGTGTTGGCCTAGCTCAATTCACCAAGATTCTAGCAATTCACTTCAAATCCTCCTTCTCTCTCTCTAGATATTGAGTTTCTCTCTTTCTTTCTCTCAAAATCTCAGCCAAGAGTGTATATCTATGAGTTCAAGGCCTAATTAGAGCCTTATATAGGATATAATTAAGTTAGCCTAATCAAGTGTGATTAAGGTTAATTAGCTAGGCTTAATTCCAACTAATTCAATCAATTTATTCTAATTATTTTGATCCAAATCAATTTTCAATTGAGGTTGTCATAAAGTTCTAAATATTTTAATTAGTCTATTACGCTAGTCAATTTTAGTTTCTGAAGCCGTCTAGGATCTCAATTTCTGTCTCTATGTTGTCAATTTGAACAGATATTTCATGTAACAACAGATAGCTACAAAATTAAGAATGTAATCACGCAACTAAGCACACAATCATGCAATTAAACTTATTGGAATAATATAATATAATAGTCTGGAGGTCGAGGTCCTCACAGTCTCTTCCCCTTAGAAAGTTTGGTCTTCCAAACTTAAGTTACCTTTAGATGGAAACAAATGCAGATATCGTTGCCGCATCTCTTCCTCTTTCTCCCAAGTGGCGTCATTCCCACAGTGTTTTTTCTA